GAATATTGAGGAAGTTATGGTCAAAATACTAAGTTAGACCCAAAAATGATTTTCTATGGCCCAATGATCAAGTGGAGGGCCCATTAATTGTCATTCCTAAAGTTATTGGGAATTGCTCTAATTTTCTAGAATAATCTAGATGGTTATTTTAAGTTCTAATAGAGTTAGGATTAATAATTATATTTTTATATTGTAGACACCCAAATGTGTCTCCCAAAAACCAAACTCAATGATGAATACCTTTCAAGTCATTTTATCATCGAACGAAGTGAAAATGTGAAAAATCTAGTGATGCGGTTGTTTTTATTAAAATATCTCTCTTTCTGTTTTCGAAAATATACTCTATTTATGAAATTAGTCATTCCAATTTTGTTTGCTAAATGATAAGGGTCCAATAATAGTGTAGTTGGATTGGGCTCAAAAAGTGTTTTCCAACGATATATTATTAGCCCAATTTCGATGAATAATGAGGAATTTATGGCCAAACACTAAATTGGGCCCAAATGAATTTTACATGTGGCCTAATGTTCTAGAGGAGGGCCTATTAATTATTATTCCTAAACTTATTAGGATTGATTTTATTCTTCTAGAAAAATCTAAAAGGTTCTCTTTAATTCTAATGGAATTAGGATTGATAATTATTATTTTAAAGAGTTTTATTTGGAATAAAATAAGTGTTTTATGATAAACCCGATTTTAATTTGATAAACACGGAATTTGCTGCTTAATCATATTAAGAAGAGGATTTTGTGTGCAAAGCGCGTTTATTTTCTGACTCAGTGCAAGGACGAGCCTGTCGCCTGGCGCTAGTGGTCTGGCGCTAACTCCTGTCGTTCGCAACAGGAGGTTTTTTATTACGAATGGGACTTGATTTCTTTTCGATCGGTTTTCGGACTATTTTTCTATAAATAGGGTCCTAGACCTCCGTTTTCTGATTCATACACAATCATCAACAATTTTCTATTCTCTTTCTCTAAAAGCTAGAAGCTTTCTCTCTCAATATTCTTTTTTTAAACTTTCCTTTTACAAAATTCTGCAGACATTAGTTCTAGACACACCTAGCCAAGTTTGAAGTTGCCTTCTCCCTAGATTTGAAAGGCTGATAATTTATGAGGGTTTGGTCCCAAAACTCTCTTTCAATTATTTATTTTAATTGTTTGTTTATATTTTCCTTGAAGTTACTAACTCGTGTATTTCATTATTAGAAAGTGATACGAGGCATCCAAGTAAGTAATTTAATTGATTATTATTTTGATATAGAAATCATGCTGCTATGATTATTTTAATTTCTAATATCATGTTAGGATGTCTTTATGATTCCTAGTATCATGTTTAGGGTAATAACTAGAAAAAAATTGCAAATTGTAGCCATTTAAAGTTCGTATTTTGCAAATTGCTTCCATTTAAAAATAAAATTGCAAATTGTAGCCCAAAAGTTCATATAAATTGTAAATTGCAGTCCGATTCAACTTTTTCATTGGTTTACAAGTAGAAAAATCATCGATTAAGGTTTTAAGGGCCATTTTAGCTCTTAGGGGTCCAAATTGAGTTCGAAATTAGTAAAAAAATAACGTAAGTATCTCGTTTTGCGTAACAACAATGTATCGATTTATGGGAAACTATAAATATGAGACACTTACGTTATTTTTTTGCTAATTCCATGCCCAAATAGGGTCCTAAGGAATAAAATGACCCCTAAAACCTTAACCGAAGATTTTTCAACATGTAAACCGATGAAAAAATTGAATCGGGCTGCAATTTACAATTTATACGAATTTTGGGTTGCAATTTGCAAAAAAAAAAATTAAATGGCTGCAATTTGCAAAATACAAACTTTAAATGGCTCCAATTTGCAAATTTTCCTAATAACTAAAATTTCTAATATCATGTACTTCCTCCGTTCTTTTATTATTGCATGCACCACTTGCCTTTTTAGGAAGTTTCACAAATATTGCACCATTTCCTCTTTAGGAAAAATATTATTTGTGTTCACACTACAAATACCTAACATACCCTTGCTTTTTCACACTTACTTTTTAATTTATCAATATGTCACATGGGCAATTTTGTATTTTTACCTTTCTCTCTCTTACTTTTTTCCACTACCAAAATATTTGTATCCAACCCCTATGGTGCAATAATAAAAAACGAAGGAAGTATGTTTTTATGATGCTTTCTATTCTTTCTTATATTATGTTAGTATCATGTAAGGGATAAAGCTTTGATATTTAATGTTTAGTGACATGGTAGGGTTTGTTATTAATTAATCTTGTTAGTATCATGCCTAGGACCTTGCTATTATTTATATGCTTTATTGAGATTGAATATTACGATGATGATGATTGTTGTTATGACTATGTTGCTTGATATATTTATATTATTTTATTGCTTGATCACGCCTTTTATGCATGTTTAAAGGAAATTTGTACTTGAAATCACTCTTAATAAGATAATTAATAATCTTGTTTAGGCTAATATGATTATAATTCAAGTTATTGTCAATAATAGTTCTGTTTGTGCATTAATATTCAACTAACATAGATTAAACAGGTTTAGGATAAACCTATTGATTGCATGTTAGTCAGAAAACACACATGAATAAGAAGAATAAATTAGAGGCCTATTTTTAGGGCAGGTTCAATCTCTTTTAAGTTGGATTTGTACCTTCATCCCCGAATATCCAGTCATGGTTCCAGAACACTATGGAGTTAGCGATCTCATGGATCGTGAAGGGGTGTAACCTTCACCCTGTGAACGGTTTACAAGTTCCTAAAACTTGTTGGTGACTCTTTTACTTTAGCTTCCTTCTCTTTGAACGCCACCATGCTTAAGTGTATGATCACAGTGGGGCTCAAGTATGGGATGCTTGAAATATTCCCTGCATATATTAATAAAGAAAAGATAAAGAATTCAATTTGGAATAGACCAAGTGTTTTAAAAAGATAGAACTGATTTTAATTAAGATAATTACAGAGTCTAACCACCTAAAACAGTGACAATCCTCTTTTTCTTTAGGAACAATTTCCAACAAAACTCTTGAATGATGAGCGAAAATACGGTTTAGGGAAAGTTATCAATGTCGCGTAACAATCCATCCTAAGAAATGTTGCTATGATGAAACGACAATCTGCATCTCGGAAAATTTGTTAAAATCCAATTTTGGGAAAAGTTGCCAATACTGTGTAACAATCTTTCATAAGAACCTTTCTACGATCGACAATCCACATTTTGGAACATAAATTTTAAAATTAATCCACCTTGGAAATTTTCCAATGCTATGCGACAATCCTTTTAGGAAAATATTGCCACAATCGACAATCCTCGTCTTATAACATTTGCAAAAAAGAGTCGATCGACAATCCACTTTGAGAAAATTTGCCACTAATGAAATGAATGACAATCCACATTTGAGGAACCTTTTTTGAAATGTTAAGATGAATAGAGACCTACGACAATCCTTTGGGATATATAGCCATAGGGAACTTGGTGCATGACAATCCAATCTCGAAAATTTTGCCAAGGATTTTATGACAATTTGAACTTTGGAAAAATTTGCCAAACGAAGATAGAGCATGACAATCCATGCTTGGAAACGTTTCCAGTTTGAAATGACAATCTAATCTTGGAAAAATTGTCGAAGATTTGATGAATGTATGACAATCCGATCTTGGAAAAACTTGCCATATTAAAGAAGGAGCACGACCATCCACACTTGGAAACGCCAAAGGTGACAATCCAATCTCGTAAAAATTGTCGTTTGAAGAAGATGCTCGACAATCCACTCTTGGAAAGATTGTTAGTTTGAGATGAGAATCTATAGATACCTAAAAATGTCTCCCTGAAACCAAACTTGATGATGAACAACCTTTCACCGCCATTATTGGTTAGGTTGAGTATTTAATCCCGAGAGTGCTTAAAATTCATATTCCATTCGATCAAACTCAGTTCACAAAATAGTCAACGAATCAGTCCTAATGTTTAGTCAAAGCATTGTCCAATTTATATTTTGGCCCAAACCTTTTTTTATTCATTTCATATTATTTATTATTTTATCCGAATTAATAAATAATAAACCTAAATAGCCCAAAATTATGAAACGACACTTAAAAATGCTGATCGTAATTAAGGTTAAAATGAATTTGGACGTAAAAGTGGAAATATTCCACCGCGTCATGTCTTTTTATGTCGCACCACGGTGGAATTTCCCGCGTCGCGACAGTGTTTGTCGTGTCACGATCCACATGTCGCGACACGGGAATTTCCCGTCTTTTCACTATTTAAACCTGAACAAGCTTTATCTTTTTAGGGCTGCTAATTTCCCACGTCACGCCAAATTATACCGTGTCACAACATATTTTTTCGTGTTGCGGCAATATGCTGACGTGTCGCGGCAACCTTTTCAGAGTTTTATCATTTTAGGGTTCCGTGTGTTCCCTCTGCTCATTTTCCCTATAAATACCCCCTCATTTTTGTAGTTCGGGGCATTAATTAATTTTCTCTTCTATGATCTAGCCTAAACACTAGCATAACTTATGCTCTCAAAATACTTCCTTTAAGTACTCCAAGGAGTCCGTACTTTACTCGAGGTTCTGTCCTTAAACCAAGGCGTTAAAGCTAAGGTAGAATTGTGTGCATTAATATTAAACCAATTTAGCATAATAATAGTTTGGAGCAAATTGAATATTTTGTTTGCATGCCTTTGAGATCGCAGGAATCGCTTTTCACTATACTAGGGGAGCCAACGCGCGCGATGCGCGCGGAGCGACTCACCCTTTCTTGTTTACATTGTGTTGCTTTTTACTTGTTTGATACGTTCATTTCTATTGGATTTTCTTTTTCAAAATCAATCGCTTGTGTGATGGTGTTTTGTAAAGTCAATTTTAAATTAGTTTTGTGTGTGAATTGTATAGCATATAACAACCAAAGTTGTATGTTATTGTTGCGTTGAGTTGGTGTTGTGACTATCATATTGGAGTGGTGCAATGATCTTGTAATTGAGATTACAAAAGGTGTTGCTGTATAGTAGCCTACATAGCCATTTATTATTTGATCTCATCAATAAAAGAGTTCTTACATGGCACATAAATTTAGATTAAGCCTAGCATTACGAAGTACATAGATATATATAATGTTTTGCATGCAAAGAGTGTCCTTATAGGGCACGTTCTTTTTATTTTTCCCTGGTAGGACTAAAGCAATATAAATATATAGCTAAGGATAAGGTATTGTTTAAGGACAAGCAGCTGCTTGTTTTTTTGTCGTAGGCCTTGCTTGTTTAGTCATATTTCAATGTCCTTGATAGCCCAGTTGAGGATAAGTTCTGAGCTCGAGAAGGGCCCTACAAAAAAACCAAGCATGATTAATATGGACTCCAAAAGGAAAATTGTAGCACTAAACAGGAGAAAACTTGTTAACAATATCGTTGACTTGTATTAACACTAAACAAGAGAGGAAGACTGTTCATTAGTAACACTAACGATATCTTATTTAATTGTCATTTAGATCTCCTTCTATTAGTTTTCCTCTATGCTCGTCATGAAAAACTAAGAAAGAACTCGATCAAATTTATCTCACATATAACACTTGTTAATTTAAAGTGGCTTTTATAGCATTTCTTATTAAGAATTACTCCTACAATTAAATTTAAATATGACTAAAACTGACCATCCATGATTACCGTCCCGAAACTAATGGCGACAAAGTGATCACTAATACCCTTATTTTCCATTCTCAATAGCAGCATATTGAAGCATTAAGAGTCAAGGTAATTCAGTAGGCAGCTTAAAAGCGGTTCTTTATAAGAAATAACAAAACCAAAAATACCCCAATAATTCATCAAACCCCCATTAACTTAAAAAGGGCATCTGGTAACATATCAATTCTATACAAAGAATAAGATCAAGTATTTTTGGTAATCTTGCTGAATATTTAAGGGCATGTTGTGAAATTCATTTAAATTCATCAAGGGAAAATAGAACAATTAAGAGTAGATGTATTGAAAGATTGAAACCATATGTTATACACTTATGAAACTAAATGATGTACTTTTACACATAAAAATTGAACAAAAGATTCACACTAATTTACAAACATACCATTTGATAAACACAAATATCAACTACATATCAATTTTACTGTATGAATTTCCCAGCTTGAAAAATCGCTGATTTAATCAATCAATTTATACTATTACAAAAATAACCATCAAATGAACAACAATCAAAAACCTTTTTGCCTATCCATTTTTTTTGTAAGTATAAATCAATACTAAACCAACTCTTGGCCATAATTTAGAACTAATATTTTGTTAATGCAGGAGTACAAACCTTGTATTTTTGCACTGTAGAGAGGAGAGAGAAAGAGTTGCCGGAGGCACCGGTAACCCACCTCCCATAAAGTCCGGCTATCATCTTCCGCTGCCTCCCCCTCGACAGGCGGCTGTGCTGTCCTACCCGCATCCTTACCATGGTCGTCACCAGCCGATGGACCACGAAATGCTTCTTTGATGTCATTTATTGTGTCAACTTGAATTGTAAAATTCAGCACTTCAATGGAGCTTGTATGAACTTCTCTTGGCCAATTTGGTATCTATTTTTCTTGAATTTAAAATGCAAAAATTAAATTCAGAATTGTAAAATTCAGCACTTTAATGGAGCTTATATAAACTTCTCTTGGCCAATTGTAAAATTCAGCTCTTCAATGGAGCTTATATCAACTTCTCTTGGCCAATTTCATATCAATTTTTCTTGTATTGAAAATGTAAAAGTAAAATTCTGCATTGTAAAACTCACCACTTGAATGGAGAATTGTGAAATTAAGTTTAACACTTAATACTTCTGTTCGGCAATGAAGACACATGCAGAGGAGAGAGAAATCTGAAGAGAGAAGGTGTGAATTATTGTGGGGGTAATAAGGTAAATAAACAATTTTAAGGGTATAAAGGTCCGACCACTGTTCATAAGAACAACTTTCCACTTTTTATAAAGTAGGGAAGAATCAAGTAGAGGCCAATACGGGCGAATGTGACTCCATGAATCACTTCGTACCATCATCCCGATCCTTTTCGTGGTTCCGAACCATATGAAGTTAGTAATCTCATGGATTATGAATGGGGTGTAACCTTCACGGGTCAATCGTTATTGCCTTTCGTTGTCCCTTTATCGTGGTTGCCTTAAATGATCCGTGAACGGTTTACAGTTCCTTAAAAACTTGTTGGCGGCTCCCTACTTTCCTTGTCCGTAATCATATATGTTAATTCCCACACCCTATGATTTCCATGCATATTCACACATTCTTTACGTAGGCACAATTCGAATGACGCCTACACAATCCAATCTTGAAAAAATTGTCGTTTGAAGAAGATGTTCTTACGCCCAGTAAAAGAGATCAAATTTTGCCAAAGGATTTAACAATTAATTTGCTTAAGGTTGACTCAAGGTTTGGTGTTACTTGACTCATTGTGTAAGACTTAACATTTTTGCTTGAGTCGATGTGTAACTCGACGTACTCAAATCGACTCGATGTGATAACCCGACATGACTCAAAGTGTACATGACTCGTAGACTTAACTCGATGTGATGATACAAAATGACTCAAAGTGCACATAACTCGTGTGCGCATTGTATTGTGATTGTGCTCGTGCGACTCAAAATTGCAGAAAAATGAAAATTTTCCATCATTTTCATGGAGGGTACCGACTTTCACCTGAAAAAGAAAGACGTGAAAGGAAGAAGTGAACTGTTTGAGTGTTTGATGTGCATATTAAATGAGCTTAGTCAATGTATGAGCTTCACGGCACGACCAAAAGAAAGAGCTTTGCTCGGTTGGCCTTCCTCCGCTGATTGCGCGAATTCTGGTAACAACTACAAGGAAGAAATCGCGTCGATGTTGTATCTCATGGTGCAAGTATTTTAACATCCTAAGCAATCTCAATTGATGGCTCAATGATGAAAGTATTTGGATAACTTAGCACGGAGGCTAAGTACTTCATACTTTGTGATGTAATGATGATTATGATAGTGAGTGACCATGATATGACAAGGCATGCTTCAACATTATGTGTAATATTTCATGATAAACGGTTTCTAAAGGGAAGGATTATTTGGTCATGTATCTGTGATGTGTGTGAAAGTGACACTAAAGTTACACTGCAAAGGCTAAGGATGTGGAAATATATTTTGTGAAAGGCCAAATAATGGTGACTCTTAGGTTGGGAAGGCTAATGATGTAGGCTAACGTGGTTAGGATAAAGGTTGAAGAAAAGGAGGATAAAGGCTCAAGACCCTAGATAAGCCCCTAAGGTGTGCAACCTTACATTTGAATCATTATATTTGTATGTTTGAGGTTTTCTCACTTTTAAACTCTCTTTTGTTTATATTTTTTCTCTCTCTATTTTTGCTTTTGTGTTTTTTTATTTTGATAAGTGTGGGCAATCTCAATCATGTGGTCTATCACTCACTTGACATTCATGTTTCTCAGGCACGGTACCGAGCACTCGATTAGAGACGCAATCTGAGACGTGTTCATATCAAAGACATAGGAACACTTTCCCTTTTGCACGCTTTTATTGCTTTTTGCTTTTTTTAATTTTTGAGATCTAGGTAAAATCACTCAAGCTTTTGTATTTAGAAATTGCATAAGTTGCACACCTACTCATCCAAAGGTTAGGTAGGTGTAGGTTGAAAAAAGAAAGGTTTATTATTAGGCGAGGTTCAAAGTGGCTCATTAAGAAAGGATCATATATTTGAAGGGTATAAGGTGATACGATATGGCTACAAGGGTGTCTCGAATCATTAGTATACCTTGTGCTTAGTCTGGCCTGGAATTTATTTTTTTTACTTTTTTTTTTTGGGCAATGTAATGATCATATGTAAAGAAATAAATGCTCATTTTATTAAAGGAAAAATAAAAACCTATGGAATAAATCTAAGGAAGACAAAAGGTGCTTATACTAAACTTATTGGGGAAGGAGAAATCAAAAAGAAGAAAAGAAGTCAGAAATCTTGTCGTTGAAGCTCGTCTTGTGTCTTTAGCTTTATCATCACCCGATCATCTTGCTAGCTAGAGGAAACGGGATCTTGTTTGCATCTATGCATGAGATCTTGAATGAGATTTTGAAATCTGTAACATTCATCCGTGGTATGTTCATTTCCTCGATGGTACTTGCAATAAGAGTTGGGACTCCATCTCGAAGATCGCTTTTATGGCGTTGGATCTTTAGTAGGGCCAATAGGTTTGATTAATCCTCGATCATAGAGACGATCGAAAGCAACATCATAGGTCATTCCAATGGGTGTGAATTCTTTTTTGGGTTTCTTTTTAGGTCTTTATTTATTCATGGCAAAGACATCGTAAGGTAAAAGGTACTAACATTGTTACTAGAGTAGGTGTTTTCAAAAGAAGAAAGATTATCGTTCTTCTTTCCTTTCCAACCACTGTTATTACTATGGTTAGTAGCTTCCTGTTTTGCAAGTTCGTCTTTAATATCAATACCTATGTCATAGGCAACTTTGAAAGTTTTTAAATTGCATTGATATTTCAGGTGATTTTGGTACTTGTCTTGGATGTTCTTGATGAACATCCTCACATATTCCTTTTCAGTAGGAATTTCTACCATCTTAGGAAAAGTTTCCCTCCACTTGTTGAAGAAGGAAGTAAATCCTTTGTTTTCTTTTTGTTTCAGCATCTCAAATTGTTTATGGTCAGTTTCAACTTAAATGTTGCACTTATATCTATCAATGAAAGTGTTTGTAATAGACTCCCAAGAGGAGATCTTCCCCTTTTCTAGGGAGAAAAAACATTGTTGACAAAGAGTTTCAAGATATTGTACATGAGAATATTGAGGGTACGGTCTTTCTGTCAATTGCCTTAATACTCATTATAGTCCCGAAAGCACTTAAATGAAAATAGGGATTATCAGTTGGTTTGAACTTAGAGATGTCATTGGCATTGAACTTCCGCGGAAGGAGTTCTTTGTCCACAAAGACCCCTTGTGAGCTAATTCCCTGATACTTATAGTCGTTGGAAATTTTCTTAATGCTTTCTTCCATACGTTCAAGTTGTTGTTGCTTGATAGGATCATTAACTTGAAGAGCGATAGTCTTCAACATCTCAGTCAGATTGTTCATGTTTTGCCTCAACTTATCAACTTCTTGTTGGGAAGCCATTAGTACGAACTTTTTTTTTGTCGAATGGGTTTATAGAAGAGTAGAACTTGAACGAAGGTGTTAACTTTGGTTAATCGCACTTCTCTCCTTGACCAAGTGTTGTGGAAAAGGAAGTCATGGGTGTTAATTGTTTAAATTCGATTCAATCTGCATAGATGGGAAGAGATCACGGAATAATGAAGGGAATGATATATATGGAGAAAGCATTTAGATAGTGGAAAGATGGTGTTAATGGAGAGATGTCGAAGAATTTAGGAATAGTGTAGACCCCCAACTCAAATGACGGAAAGGGCGACTCATGCATGAACCTAAAACATGGTCATGGTATGAAGTAAGTATGTAAAAAGTGTGTTCTAAGACTAGTGAGTGTAAGTGATATGTTCGAGACTCGTTTCATGACCATGTGACTAGACTATATGACTAAACTCAAACAAAGACTAAGTTAAGACCTCACGTACGTGCTTTGAACCTGACACGTTGTAGTATTTTAGTCATAACTTTTGATATATAACTCCGAATTGGACAAAACCAACTCCAAATGAAAGATAAACTCGGGGCTACAGATCTATAGGTTGTATGACTCGTAGTTCTTTCAAGAAATTTTTTTATGACTATAACAAGTTGACGCTTGTGCAGTATTCGAGAATAAAAATTCGGGTTGACTCAAAGGTACCATGACTCGATTTTAGGCATATTTATTGGTTCAAATTAATTAATTAAGCAAAGTCCTTTAGTCATTTATTAGCTTATTTAAGCATATTTATAATCACAAGTCAAATAAGAAGTTAGTTTAATCACATATAAGTTATGGACAAACAAGAGATGTACAAGTAGTTACAATATGATGTAATGAGTTTGCAACCTAACCATGTCTCTAGTTCTCTAAAGTTAAAGGATAAGGGCAGTCAAAAGACGGTCCATGGTTATGAGTCCAGATGCATCGCACGACAGCCTTACCTTTGGAAGGGTTGGTGCGTGGATGGAACCCCACAAATAAAACTTGTTTCCGTGGTTTGGTGAATTCAAAAACTTGGATGTACCCTTTGTTGTAATGAACGTTCAATTGGGTAGATGGAGCGTGAATTCCCAGAAGGTTATGGCCATATGTAAAACACATATGGGTTTTAGAAAAGAGGGAAAAAAAACTCAATCAGGAATTAAAATCGGTCAAAAAGTACTAGAGCCGGTCAAAGCAAGAAGACAAACATCTGGCTCGGTATTGGAAGAACATGGCGCGAGAAAACAGGGACCATCGCGAGGAGATGGCCCTGACGCCCCGCGATGTTTCCATCGCGCGCAACAAAGCCATCGTACTGCGATGGGCTCTATTCTCTCAGCAACAGTTCCTATATGCCTTGGTAGTTTTCTGTGTTCTTTGAATTTTCCGATTTTTCTAGCGTTTTTTCGATTCTAGTTGTGAAAGATATTTCAAAATTTTCACATGTGTAAAAATCCTATGTTTTTTTACGCATTACGAATGGTCTTTCCAATGCGGACCTTTTTATGCTTATGCCATTAATGTCTATCAAAATTACGCACATGAATATTTCGAACGTTTCGAGTCTCATCCACTCATTCTAAATTATTGGAAAAATAAATTTTAGGAATTAAAATAGAAATCCTCCACAATAGAGTCGCCAAAAAATGTAGGGACTATTTCAAGCATCCCACACTTGAGCCTAAATGTGATCATACACTTAAGCATGGTGGCATCCAAAGGGAAGAAAGATAGAGTAAACGAGTCGCCAACAAGTTTTAGGAACTTGTAAACCGTTCACAAGGTAAAGGTTACACCACTTCACGATCCATGAGATCGCTAACTCCATAGTGGCCCGAAACCATGATTGGATATTCGGGGATAAGGTTTAAATTCAACCTAAAAGAGATTGAACCTGCCCTAAATAGGCCTCTACTTTATTCTTCTCATATTCATGTGCGCTTTCTGACTAACATACAATCAATATATTAATCCTAAACCTGTTTAATATATGTTGGTTGAATATTAATGCACAAATAAATCTATTATTGGTGATCACTTGAATTAAAATCATATTAGCCTAAATAAAATTATTAATTATCTTATTAAACGTGATTTCAAGTATAAATTTCTTTTAAGCCTGCAAGAGAGGGCGTGATCAAGCAATAACATTGATATCAAGCAACATATAATATTGATGCAACAAATCATCATCATTACAATGACAATATTCTCATCAAAGTATAATATTAGCAAGATCCTAGGCATGATATTAACAAGATTAATAACAAATCCTAGCATGTCACTAAACAATAAAGATCACCACTTTAACCCTAACATAATAGAAGAAATAGAAAGAAACGTAATCATTATATTAGTAAACATACATGATATTCGAAATATTAGTTATTAGTTATTACCCTAAACATGATACAAGAAATTAATAAAAGACATCCTAACATAATACTAGGAACTTAAATAATATAAACATGCTTTCTAAGTAAATAAAGCAATGAAATTACTCACTTTGTTTCCTCGTATCTCTTTCTATCAAAACAAATACACACGTTAGTAACTTCAATGAAAATATTAAATCGGACAAATGATTTAAATAATTAAAATAGGGATTTTAGACCAAACCCTCAGAAATTATCAACTTTTCACGTCTAGAGCGAAGGCAACTTTGAGCTTGGCTAGGTGTGTCTAAGTCTTGTGATGGACGAATGTTGTATTTTTTGAAAAGAAAAGGCTTAGAAAGAGGGAGAAAGAACAAGCTTCTATCTTAAAGAGAGAGAGAGAGTAGAATAGATGATTGTTGATGATTGAAAATAGGGAAATACGATCCTGTTTATAGAGAAAAACAACCGAAGACGATTAGAAAAGAGTTAGAATTTGAATCGAAATAAAATTCCTTTTGACGCGGCAAGATGAAAAGCATCGCAGCGCGACAGGACCATCACGACGCGGCGCGAATGAAAACAATTTTTTTTGCAGATTTTGTTTTTATCATATCTTTTGATATAGAAGTTGAAATAAGTCATATAACGTGTCTTTGGAAGGCTCGTGAAGTCTTCTTTCTAACCCAATTAGAATTTGATTAAAATCTTTTGTAAAATAAAAGATATGGCCGAAATAGTGGAAAGGTGTCAGTTTTGGATAGAGTTTCGTATTTCTTTCATATCCTTTTCATTATAGCTCAGAATTAATATTATAATATATCATTGGAAAGATAATTTCAACAGCTGTCCAACCATTTAAGATTTAGACAAAAATTATGAGGTACAAATATAATATCTGATCATATTTAAACGTTTTTTATTTCGAATAGAATTAGGAATTTCAAAAAGAGAAGTTTTATTCAGTTTCAAATTCTTTAATCTTATCTTTTCAAAAAGGATAATTAAGATTTTTTAGAAATTCATAGAAGCTTCTAATTAATCCTGATTGGTTGAGGAATATAATTAAGATCAATGGAGCTTCCACAGGATCATTGGGTCAAACATAAAACTCGTTTTAGGCCCAGTTTATTAGAAAGGTCTTTTTAAGCCCCATTCAATTACACAATTATTGAAACCATGTTATGGACTAAACTAAATACGATTGGACGTTTTTCATAAATAGGATACAAAATGAATAATTTTAGAAAACATAAATGAATTTTTTTTATTAAAACATTTTAGAAAACAGAAGAATTCATGAGACTCTTCAACATTTTACCTTACTCGATATCAATGACGTGAAAAGTACTCATCACTGGGTTTGTTTTTGGAAAGACACAATCAGGTTTCTACAAGTAGGTTCTTATGCTATCAGACCACTAAGATAGAATTATAGAAACCATACTATTCACTATTTCTTAAGTCGCCTCTTTAGTATACTTCCTTCGTTTCTATTTAGTTAACGCATTTGATTTAGGCACATATATTAAGGAGATGAGAGAGAGTGTGACAGAAGATCATAAAGAAAGTGGGGTAGCTTGAAATGCAAGGTAAAAAACTTACCCTAAAAAAACGTGTTAACCAAAAAAAACTTTCTAAACAGGAATACGTGTTAACTAAAAAAAATGGAGATAGTAGTTTCTTCACTGTTTTTTTTTAAAAATTGAATACAGTCGAAAAAATATCCTTCCTAGCAATGGACTAATGTCTAAGTGACATGTAATGATTGAAAAGCACATGCCAAAGTAAATGGGTTTTGTTCTCTTTTGTAGTCGCTTCTATTTATGGGCTGCACTAACCTCAAACTTTAGTGCTTCATATTCCACCAATATCTACACTTTTGTTTTTCTCTCAACAATGACCAAATCCGTTCTTGTTGTTTTTCTCTTGGCTCTCATCTCCTTTGCCTTGTTGCAAAATTGGGTAAATACCAGCTTAATTTCGTTTAAATTCGAATCTTTTAGATTTTATTTGGTCATAAAACACAATGTAGCACTTTTTTTCTTGCAATTTTCATTCCACCAACTTATTCTTGTTCTAAATTGCATAACAGGTCTTGGCTACTAGTACAACAAATCATGTTAACAAGGTAAGTCCGACTCACCCAATACTTATCGAGTTTCTTTATTTGAGGCGTTAAGCAAGAAACTAGATTGTATATTTGTGTTTTAACATGTGCCTTGTACAATTTGTTTAATTTCAGGGTTCATATGGCCCAGGGAGTGTGAAAAGCACTCGTAAGTTCATTTTCATTTTCTCTTTTACTTTATTAGTGCCAACATGTGTTTTCATTCTCCTAAATTACAAACTTGAGATAAATTTGGTGTATCATTTTTAGTGTATGATAAATTACGTTAAAGTATGAATTTGACCATTGTTTAGCATGAAAATGTTGGAAAGTGTTCATGCTTTTTTTTTTTTGATTTCTTTCTTAAATATTTGTTTTCATCTAAATTTCTTGGAGCACTTCTGGAGAAAGCAAATTTTTAGTTTTAAATTTCCATAGTATCTTAAATTGTGCAATTTTTTTGGAAAATTACTACCGTTAAATATTTATACTCCGTATTTTTAGTAAAAAGGACATTTTTCTACGAGTAATGCTATATGGGTTGTATTTAAGCATTTAATATACTTTGTTTTTTAGTACTATTAATTTGAGAATTTTTCGACAATTCACGAGTAAATTGATGTAATAAATGTTTATATGTTGTGTTTCCTTTTCATTTCTAGCTTCTTAAGTGTTGTATATTTCCTTTTCATTTAATATACTTTGTTTTTTTTAATACGGAGTATTTTTTCCATTTTTTATTACTCATATATTTCTTTTATTTTATAATTTTTTTTTCTTAAAAAAAAGTGATTAAATAGGAAAAATATCAGATACCGAAGTAATAATCCGATTAAATAATTAGCCCTCTAAGCTTGAGTAATTAGAGACTAAATAACATAGGAAACGTGAACAACATTAATAACTTAGCAAATTCATGCTTATATGTAGGTGAATATAAATTTCATTTTCTAGTCATTTATTGTGATGGGGGCATTGAGAATTAAATCATAAATCTCGTGAAAAAAAGTGTTGAAAATTAAGTGTGAGAATGTTGAAATTTCATAGAGTACGTACTCGTTGTTCGTACACCTTATTTTTCAGTTATTAGTTGTCTGTTTCGAGTCAAACTAGTTTCGTTGACTGTTTAATACTACTATTTTGACGGAGAAAAACATAAACGAAACCTAACAAACTAACCATCATTTATTCCATTTGTATGTGAAATGACCAGAATGCCCTTCACATTGCACAAGAAGGTGTAGCAAGACTCAGTATCACAAGCCATGCATGTTCTTTTGTCAGAAGTGTTGTAGGAAATGCTTGTGTGTGCCTCCGGGGTATTATGGGAATAAAAGTGTATGCCCTTGCTACAACAATTGGAAGACCAAAAGAGGAGGTCCAAAATGCCCATAATTTCATGATACATCATTATTGTACTCATCTTTATTATAATTATGCACCTTTTATTCTCATCTTTATGATGATTTATGTATCGTATTAAAGTGTTTATGTAGTACGTACGGAGTATTTCTTAACAAGTTTATGTGTATAATCGTTTAACCTTGAGGTAGAGACTAGAGAGGCCTGCTGCGACGTATTGATTGCTATGATACATGTAGCATGGACGCATGCATGGTCCTAGTTGCTAAGATTCCTTGTAGTGGCGTACCCTAAATTATGGCTAATGTGTGTTATATATAATTAATAGAACTTTTTGAAGGTAATAGTTATCTTTAAAATAATAATAAAATTAATAAAAAAAATAATAAAAAATCTTACATCTTATTGGCGTTTATAAAGTAGGTAATTTGTATGCTCTTGTTTGGAGGTCCATGGTTAAACAAATCGCCTACTCTTTTATTTATTTATTTATTTATTTATTTATTTATTTTGACAGGCACAATTGCCTACTTCATGATCAGATTATTAATAATCATTTGGTTTGTAGGCAAGAAGGAAAGGATAACATAGCAGCATGTTTTGTGTATGGCTGGTCAAGGGCGGAGCTAAGGGGGGCTAGGGTGGGCCATGGCCTTTCCCTTGCCTCAAAATAAATACTAGTGTTAAATTTTGCATAAAATTAACATAAGCTTTAGGGTAGAGGAGTTGGTTTTTGCCATGTGATAGTGAACAAGAGATAAAGAGTTCAAATCTTGCAACTTGTTCCGCCACTGTGGCTGGCCACACAGTGTGTCCAACTAACCAACAACTTACACACAATTAACCCCTTCGACCTAGTAACCCCTAACCAATCTAGTAACCCCAGACCAACCTAGTAACCCCTCCGACCTAGTAACTCCTAACCGATCAGGTAACTCCTGACCAAGTAACCCCTATCTGACCTAGTAACTCCTAACCGAGTAATCCCTACCCCTGACCGAGTAACCCCTACTCGGCTGAGTAACCCCTGGCCGAGTAACCCCTACCCAAACTAGTAACCTTTGACCAAGTAACCCCTACCCGACCTAGTAACCCCTAACTAATTAACCCCAAAACAAAATTAGTTGTAGCAGCCACCACCTTTGCACCTGACCACAGTACCTGACCACCGCTCCTCTGCCACTGCACTTAACCACCTCACCTTCCTCACAGCTCACATCAATCTAAGGCCACCTAATTTAACCACAACTCCTCCACCGCACCTGACCACCTCACCTCCCTCAGAACCCGCATCAAGGCCACCTAACCACCGCAACACCTCCTATCTCACACATCTCACCTACATCGAAATTCACCACAAAGAAGATGAGGAATACGACGACAGAGGTCACCTGTTCAGTTTCAAAAACTTATTCAATTGATGAACTTGTACCCGAATCTCTTGAAATTTAAGGGATATGTTAGGGTTTGGAGCTTCGAAACTTGGTTACAATTCCTCGCAATTTCTCCTTCAAATATGCAATTCACCACAAAGAAGATGAAGACGATGGTAGAGGTGGAGGTCGATTTGGCTGATTTTAGTGACGAAGATGATGACGACGACGGTGGTCTGGGTTGATTTTGTCGACAAAGACAAATTGAAAGACGACAGCGGAGGTGATGGTTAGATTTCTTGGATTTTGCTGGTCGAAGTTTTGGGTATTGCGGTTGAAAATCTGGGAATTTTGGGGTTGAATTTGCTATTCCTCCATTAGACGGGTTATTCACTATTTTTTCAAAAAAAAAAAAAATTGTGGCTGGCCACACCGTGTAGCCAACTAGCCCAGGCTCGGTTATGGCCCTGTGTAAAAAGGCCAACAGCATAGGTCCCCCAAACTCAAAGGGCCCAATTTTCGGTTGCAGCCCAATCCTTTAAAAATAATAATAAAATAATCATCTTTATTTCCATACTACTTTGTCTGTAGCATATTGTGTAGGATGTTCCTCTTGTGTTGTATGCTCACTTCTTGGGTGTAGTAAAATCTACTACAGTAATTATTTTATCCTATTCATACTTTCCAATTTCCATATGTTCTTCAGTAATGCCTAGGAAGTAGTAAAATTTACCAACATTTTTTTTCTTTTTATGGGACATTTCCTAACTCTCTTGTTTCACCCAATTATAATTATCTATTTATCTTACCAATTTACCATCCTCTTACCCTTTTTATTTTCAACTATCATATATTGTGACATGTCAATAATATTCATTGTAAATAATATTTTCCCAATCCTTCAATAATCTTCAATATAATAACACTTTCAAGATTTCATACTTAACCATTACATCTCTTGATTTCTAACTATTATCATATTCACCTCTTACAAATTTTTAATCAATTTAATTGGTTTTATCAACATCTAACTACTCAAAATGATTTAAAGTTAAACTAGACATTGTATAGTTTTCAGTATATATTCTTATTTATTGTTGGTGAAATTTTGAATTTCAATTTATATATGAAAGTTTGTGTTTTATTTTTTCTCTCTCCTACAAAGCCTACTTATACTACTTTCTTTCTTTAAACCTTTTTATATATATATATATAGAACTAAATGTGCATATTTGATTTTGAACCTTTTTTTTTTTTTTTTTTTTTTTTTTTGCAATTTCTGGAAAAATGATAACTTATGCATATTATACGCAAAAAATATGCATATTTAATTTTAATCAGATTATTTTGCACATCTTATTCAAAAAGTATGCACACACGGTGAAAATTTTATGCATATAATAAGGAACTTCTCATTTGACTCTCTCTCTCTCTCTCTCTCTCTCTCTCTATGTATATATATGTATATGTGTATATATGTGTATATATATGTATATGTGTATATGTATGTACATATATAAATATATGTACATATATATACACATATATGTACATATATTTATATATGTACATATATATACATATACATATATACATATATACACATACTACCTCCGTTAACTGTTTTGTGCAACTTTTACCATTTTGGGATGCTATGAGTTATGTGCAACTTTCTGTTTTCATTTTATTTTTGGTAAAAAAAAAAGCATGAAATTACAGATTTACCCTTACTTAACATTTTTTTTAATCTTTACCCTTATTCTAATCTAATTACATTAACCTAAATCTAATTACATTCCCTAATCTAATGACTCCCTCCATTTATTACCCTAATTCCCCCCAACTCTCTTCATTTACTCACATCCCCAACCATTAAAAATTAAATTTGATGGTTGGGCTCCTCTATATCCTTTGGAGTTTTCCCAGATGAACCCTAGTTCATCTTCTAGGGTTTTCTCTCTCCACTTCTTCTACGATTTTACACTTCTATCTCCAGATCTACTCTTCTCTTCTTCGATCTTTCACAAAATCAAATCCCCTCACAGTAATGGTTAACTTAGATCCTTTAAAAGATGCTTACATGGCTACCAAGGACAAAGGAGAGGATAATCTGATTGAGAATCTCATCCACTACTTCGAGAATGGTTCTCCTTTCCCTCGTCAATTTTACGAGTCAATCGAAACGGGTCCCTACTGTAGTTTGTACGAGCTTTGGTTCAAGTCCTTAAAAGTGTTGAGGAGGAAGAAAGAATGAAGAGGGAGGAGGGTCAAGGTGATGAGTCCCGAAGGAATTCGCTTGATTTCTTTGAGGCTGTTGTAGATCTGGTTGCTGGGAGTGGCGAGGGGAATGTTGTGGCTCCAAAAAAACCGAGATCAAGAGGGAAAGGCCACCCTCCAAGGTGCGTGCTACGAGGAAGGCGGCACATGTTACTTTGAGAAGGACGCGTGGGCTTCCTGGCGATGAGCTCATCGTCTTATCATTTGATGAGGAGCCTGACGAAGAACCTCCTTCCAAGGAACCTGATGTTGCCTCTTATTCTGTCCCTGTTGTGCACTTCTATGTGAGGCGGATGAACCCTAGGATTCAACCCCCTGAGTGACTGCTCTCGTAACGATTCCTAACCATAATTTCTTTAATTTATTTTTTTGAGTCCCTCTTATTTGATTTTATGATTTATTGCTTCTGATGTTGTGATTGTGTTGTGGTTATTTGATTGGATTAAATGGTTTTGGTTGTGTTTGTTGGTTGATGAGTTACAATACTTGTTTATCATATGAGTCCTTATTTAATGCTTTAGATTGGAAGTTAAATGATTTTATTTGTGGGTTTTGTTGGTTGAGAAATTTTTGTTGTTGGATTATGGAATATGATTTTGTTGGATGGTGGACTATGTTGTTTGTTGCCGAGCATTTTAGCTTTACTATGTTGTGGATGGATTATGCACAGCCTGCAGGGTTATGTTGTATGGTAGTGGCCTATATTATTGTGTTCTGATGGTTGCTTGTTTGCTTTTGTTGATGGCCTAGTAAACTGTTTGGATTGTTGTTGTGGTTGTGTTATTGTTCTTGAATTACTTATGGGCTTTAAGGGACTTTGATTGATGAATGATGAGGCTATGTTGTTATTGGTGTTGTCAGGTTGGCCTGTGTATTACCTATAATGTTCTTAATGATCAAATTTGTAGAGAACAGTGTGATTTCCTTAATTTTGTTTCACTTATTATGAGTCCCTTATTGTTGCTTGTGTATTACTTAGTACTGAGTCCCTTTTTTATCCGAGTAGCATGTTATTGTGATATCCATATGATGAAGGGACTCCAATGTATTGCAATTTGAACAAGTATGTTGCTCCAACAATCTCAATAAAGTAATTGTTATTGAGGTAAACTTGTTTGAATTGTTGTATTCGACACATAAGAATTCCTCTGATGGATTAATTGTCATTGACCATAAGTCCTTCAACACTTTCATTCCAGTCAAAATGTGGCTACAAAAAGCCTATTACATGAGCACTAGAACTTACACATCATTGCCTTAGTGGTTTATCACATCCTAAAACACAAAATACACCTAACCACATATTCATTAACATTCCAAAAGATTAAAAAAAAAGAAAATTAAGACTTTAAGTGGTTATGTGAGGTAGTATATGTTCCTGCTCTGATTTTCTTTGTATTATGCTCTAGTCTGCATCCATCTCCGTGTCCTCTGCTACATCTTCATTCCCTTCTATTGCTGGCCTGAACATTGTGTTCAAGTACTCTACAGCCTCTAGCACTATGTCCTTCTGAACATGCACTTGATCTGGCAGAATGCTTAGATTTTCAAGTTTTTCTTATTCATGTGTGGAATTTTGTACTTATTCCCACCTTGTGCCTTGAGTATTTTGATTATGCATCTTTGTAGAGTTACCTATATGTACTTGTTCACTTCTGGTTTGAATGTGTTGTAAGATTCAATCACTTTCTTAACTAGCTCATCAAGATTTTTGGAAAAGATTGATATTGTAAGGACTGGATAGACCTAAATAAACCTAAATCCAACACATTTAAATCAGGAGATTGAGATGGTTTGAACACAAATTGAATGTTAAACCCATTGGCTGATGTTGCTACACTAAACTCTTCATCTGTTGGTATTTGATGTGGCCTTGCATTGTCCCATTGGATGACAACATTTTTAGGCAGACTTTTAGGAAATTTATCCATAATTGCTGGTATGACTTTGTTGAGCAACATATCTCTAATGACCTCTCTGTTGACATTCTGGAGTGCCTTTGTGACCATTGTGCCTGCTGATCTGTTCTTTCTTGACTTCTTTGCTCTTTCTTTGACTGTGAATGGATAAATACCATACTTTCCATCATGTAGTAGTTCCCCATTGTTTCCATATAATGGCTTTCCAATAACTTCTATGAACATAGCCTTTAACTTAAATTTTCTTGACTGTTGCGCAATGTATGGATCATCTTCACTTGGAAGGAGATAAAATCTCCTTTTGTCAAGGTTCAAGTAAAACCATTTCTCATCTATGTGAATGACATAACTCAAGTCTTTAAAAGTGGGGTCCTAATTTCCTTGAATTGGGTTTATATGATTAAGAACCTACTTCATTCTAGCTATCTTGTGATTTGATGTCAGTGCTGGTTTGCAAATTGTTATGTGTGTTCTTAGCCTTCCCTTTTTCTTCAAATAATGCAGAGTGATATGAGAAAATTTAAGTGTTGTTGCATAAGACCTTTCTGTCTGCCTTAAATAAAGAGGGATTGACTGTAGGAATTCATTTGTAAATTCCCTTGGCTTTGGACCTGACTTGCCAAACGTCTTAGTCCTAACATCAATCATATTCCCTTGTGCCATCTGTTTTTTAATGTTTGTGAAAATTCTTGTGATTGTTGATTTGTGAACTCTGAATTGTGTTGAAAGTTGCATTTTGTATCCTCTTGGCAACTCACCATCTTGCATCTTTATCAACATTGCATCAACAATCGCTCATCTCTAGTACATGGTAAGCTGTTTTCTGTTGATTATTTTTGTTGCATTTTCTGTGTGGTGTTGGATGCTTTATTCATCAACTGTCCCATTTGTTTCTGGAGTCTCTTCTTCATCCCCTTCTTCTTGCTGCATGTTTTCATTATCAGAGTCATAGTACTCTATGTCTTGGTCTTGAATTTGTTCTTCCTCTTCATAGTATAATTCCGCCATCTGTTCCTCTGTCAGTAGTTCATCAACATCATAATGCTGAGATTCTTTGAAATCTGCCATGGTAGGGCCCCTTTTTCAGGTTGTTGATGATGTTGTAGAGGTGGCAGATGCAGGTTTTTCAGAAGATGAAGTTGTCATACACTTTTGTGTACATAAAGAACGACCCAATGTGGTCTTGAAGAAGGGGGAAGACCTTGTGCAGCACTAATTTAG